CGCCACAAGGCTTGTATGACTCTTTGCCCCCGATTATTTAGGGAGCCTGAACGGCGGCTAATTAAGGCGATCGTCGGGGGTAGGGCCAAAATGGGGTTTTGTCGCGTGTATCCCAGTTTGCCTTCACGGCGACTGCGCAGAGTAGGCAAGCGGGTGAGTACTCGCGATCTCCTCAGTTTCAGGCCTCGGTGTCCAACTACTCGATTCCTATTTATCCTCCTCAATTATGGTATGCCGGCAACTCAGATGATGGCTCCTTAATTCAGTTCGTAAGTCCCTTCGAATTCGCGCGTATGTTACCTATCGTGTGACCCGAAAATATAGCGAATCAGCGTTACCCGATTATAACCGCCCGCGGCTGAAAATCACCAGCATGCAATTGAGGCAGGGTAACAGAAGTAAATTGTATGTAAAAAAAAACAATTAATCACTTTATTGACGTATTTATTAATTCATAAGCAAGAAGTCGGAGTGATTAGGGTCAGTATAACTCTGAATAATTATGAAATAGCAAGGGTACAAATTAATCGAAATATTAATAATTTTCCCGTCGGTTTTCGATTAACAAAGATGATGGAATGGTCAGCGCAAATAACTAAATCACGAATTTTCTTTGTCTGATCTTAACGCTCACGTTCGGTTTACGAAATGGCGGAAAGGTCAGCACAATTAAATAAGCACGGTAATTTTATTTGGCTACTTCTGCGTACGCAACGATTTAGTATACGGTGAAAGGTCAGCGCAAATAACTCAACCACTACCTTTAATTCGTATAAACCTAACACTCACGTTCGATCTACGAAATGGCGGAAAGGTCAGCGCGATTCGATAGGCACCGGCATCGACGGATCCACGCGTCGCGATGATCTACGGCACTGAAAATTTCACTCCCGTACTCCGCGATTAATATAAGTGAGTGGCACTTTGCCTACTTACGATTTTCCTTGCTGTTTCAGCGAACAAAGTTAGCGAGCACAAAAGGCGTCTAGCGCAATTGGTCCTGCGACAAGATTATCTAGGGATTACTCCTTCTCGCTAGAAGACCAGTGGCAAAATGGACGAGAATCGGCTTTTCGCGGTCAAAGATCGCTTTTCTTCTCCTCTTTCCGAGAAGAAATGTTATTATTGGTCGGTATGCTAATTCAGATATCGGTAGCGCCCTCCGAATATTTTATCATTGGTCCGTATGTACATTAGAAGGATACAGCGTCCTCCTTAACTCTCCTACTTTCGTCGTTATTTACCCTCTCTCACCCCTCACTAAGGTAGCTATCATTAATTGTCGGAAAAGATCTACCCCTACTCTTATCTATTTTTCTATCCGGACAGAAATCAAATTTTATTCTAATTCGCTTATTGGTCGTGACGTCACTAGCGAATTTCGTCAGAGGTTCGAATTCTGTCGGTTAATTTATTAATTTAATTTAACGGGGTAGTTGTCGCTCGCTATTATAATAGGGGGTGTGTCGGTCGCATGCGAATTTTATAATTCGGTATTTATTCCATGTTCATTATAACTTTAATTTTAATGCATATATAATATACGTCGTTTCAATTGTAGCGCCCCCATCCTCGCATTTACATATTATTCTATTCATCATTTCATATCATCTGTCTCGCTCGCTCTTGTTTAGTCTATTTCGCTCGCTCTGTCTCGCTCGCTCGCTCTCAGTCTGTCTCGGCGTTTCAAAATGGCCGCTCGATCTATCGCGTGTACGCTTCGTGTTCTCATATCGGTTGTTGGAACGCCTCCTGGGGCGCTCCTGTGTCGGTTAAGTGACGTTCTCCCGGGTGTTTGTGTGTGTGGTTATCATTGTCGTTATGTGTGGCGCTCAGGATGTCGCCGATGGTGTTCGGCAGCCCGACCCAGCTGATTGCCGGCTGCCACTTCATCGGCGATTTTCTGCTTGCCCCAGGAGTGTCAGAGTCTTGTGAATGTTGGTGTTGGTGCCTGGGAGTGTAACTGATCTGCATGTGTCATCAACATGCATTTCCGTTGCATTTCCCAGTGAAGTTTCCTATTTTTCTTTTGCCGGTCGGCAACACGTGGTCGGGAGTGAGTGTGTGCGTGCGCTCTCTTATTTCGTGGTGCGGTCCTTTTTTTTTTTTCTTTTGCGTGTCCGTCGGATCGCGTTTGTCGGGTTTGTTTCGCCGATATCTCCGGTGTGGTTGTTCGGGCATGAAAAAAGTAATCGTTTTTATATAGGCCGCGTTTGTTTTTATTTTATTCAACCGGTTACGGGGCGGCAAGGGGAGGGAATGGCTTTTCTGAGGTTTTGCAAATAATGCAGCGCTCAGGAAAGGCCTTGTAATGTACCGCATTACAGTCTGACTCACTCTTTTCTTTATGACAGATATCGGTGTAATCTATAACTCCTAAGTCCACTTACACTAACATTCTCTAAATTTTATAAATGTACTTAAAAAATCATTTTCTTTTTTATTATATTTTTAATAAAACATAACAGTACTAATTAATTTAAGCGTTTCTCATAATTATTCATTTTCGTTTTTCAAATACGCGTCTCTTAGAAATCCGTATAAAACTAACCTGCGTATGGATGGCTGTGCAGAAGTCTAGTCATGTGTCATTTTAGAAATGTCAAAATAGTTCTATAAACACCCTTTTAAAAAGTGTTATAATTGTTCTGCAATCATCCTAAAGACAATCTTCGTTACGTTTTTGAACAGCAAATTGTACCGATGCGAAAACAGCCCGACACAAATAACATTTTATAAAAAAAAATGATCACATCTCACGTACGTCTAATTGTACTTCTCGAAAAAATAATTATTTGTCATTGTACCATTATATTTCTCATAAAAAATAAAAAATATCGTTATCGATCATTCACCTCCTATTTATTCACATAAAAGACATAATTAAGCAAAAATAAATTCACAGAAAAATTGTACATTCTGTAGTCTAAATTGTACCATCAGTACAATTCTATTTTTTTTTACTAATCTCATATATAAACAATGGTTAAGGAAAATCCCTTAATATGTTTATATATGAGATTAGTAATATTTCGAAGGAAAATAAAATAGATTATAATCTATTTTTTTTTTTTTTTTTTTTTTTATTGGTAAGCAATTTATTACCTCATTGCGAGATTATTATGCTATAAACGTAAATATACATATAGAAATAATTAAGGTACAGTAGAGTATATCGATAGTGTATGCGCTTAGTATTACGTTGGATTACATTATTGAATTGTATTTTAAAATTGGAGCTTACAGTTAGAGACGAAATTGTAAACGCTAGTACACAGATCGGCAGTCGGATTGACTAACAAAGTTACGCTATTCATGGGAAGAAACATTTTTTGTTTTCGCAGATCTTTTATGAATTGTGAGCGTTGTTGATCATATACTGGACATTGCCAAAGTATATGGTCTAAATCTTGTATCGGATGACCACATTCGCAATCGGTAGAGCTTTTTAGACCAATTCTCCCTAAAGAATATGCTAGATTGTAGTGTCCTGATCTGCAGCAGTTGATGGTTGTGATAATTGCTCGAGGGAGATTAACATGTGCAAACCATGGTTTGTCTTTTTCATTATGGAAGTTTTGGAAAAAGTTGATTCCTTTATTGTTTCCTTCAGTGCATAAAAATTCCCGAGTATTGACTATTGCTTCTTTCTTGAACAATTGGCGCAGATCAGTATAAGGGATTTTCACAAAGTCGGAGGGAGCAGACATAGAGACATTTTTGGCCGCTAGGTCAGCGTTTTCGTTGCCATTGAATCCGGTGTGCGAACGAATCCAGAAAAATTTGAGTGCAGAATTGGTTGGGCTCTTTAGCTTGAAGTCAAGAGCTATTTTGCGTGTTTCTAAAATATATGGATTAGTTTTGATGTCGAATTTGACATTTTTAAGTGCTAGCAGGGCGCTGAGGGAATCAGTAAAGATGTATACATCTCTCGTAGGATATCGACGGCCAAGTTTCGTTGCTTCTAGTAGAGCGATGGACTCGGCCGTAAATATGGATGCTCTTTTGTCGACACTTTTGACTATTTCAATGTTTAGATCTTCGCTAATACAGGCACATCCTACCGAGTTTGAATTGTCTGACTTACTTCCATCTGTAAATGTGAAGAATGGATTTCGTTCGTTTTTCAGCTTCTCAAGCTCAGAGTTGGGATCTTTGGATTTATCCAGAGTTTTTCCAAATTCAATGTTAATATCGAGATCATCGATAAGGGTATAATAATCATATTCATACAAGCCGAAGTGGAAGCTTGAAAAGACTTTGCTGTCATTTAAATTAAGGTCTTGAATACATTTGATTAGGAGACGGTCACGAAATTTGCGCTTATTTCTCGGATTGTTTATATGTTTGTGTATGTATTTAATTTTGTCGTGAACTAACAAATTTTTATTTGACATGATCTTATAGAGGTAGTTGAGGCAAAGATACTTGGTCCTATTTTCGATTGTGACTAATTTAGATTCAGAGAGTAAGATGTTTGTTGGGGTACTGATTCTGTAGCCGAGTGATAGTCTGATAGCTGAGTACTGTATTTTTTCTAAAACATTGGTGAGTTTTGCCTGCGTGGGATAGTATACAAGACATCCATAATCGATAATAGCGCGAATAAAACTTTTATACAGAGTTAGTAATGTACAAAGCTCTACGCCTGCGCAAAGTGTATTTCCGGATGACATCCTTGCAAGTTGTAACAATTAGTGGTAATTTGTAATTGTCCTATTATTTCTTTTAGAAACAAATTTATAGAATTGTACTGATGGTACAATTTAGACTACAGAAGGTACAATTTTTCTGTGAATTTATTTTTGCTTAATTATGTCTTTATGTGAATAAATAGGAGGTGAATTATTGATAACGATATTTTTTATTTTTTATGAGAAATATAATGGTTCAATAACAAATAATTATTTTTTCGAGAAGTACAATTAGACGTACGTGAGATGTGATCATTTTTTTTTATAAAATGTTATTTGTGTCGGGCTGTTTTCGCATCGGTCAAATTGTTTGCTTTCGCGGCTTGCGCCTAAAAAATGTTTCGTTCAAATATTAAATACAAAATATTGTGTTATTATTTTACAATTGGAATTGTAAATAAATTTTACATATAAAATGATAGTAACGAAGTTTAATTGTTAACAATTTATAGTAATACATTTCATAGTAACAGTATAATTAGAGAAATTAAAATTTAATTCTGATATTGTTAAATCGCTTTGTTAGTATGTATATACAAAGTTTTGTCCTTTAAAAAGAAATGAAAGCATCTCTCTATAAATATGACAGATTTTGTTGAAGGATGGAGTTTAGGAGACATATTAGGAGAGGGTGCTTATGGAGAGTAAGTATTTGCAATTGAAATGTTATAAAGCAACATAGTTTTGCAATTCATTACATACTGTATTTTATATTATAAGAAAAAGATACCCTACGTTGAAAAATAAAAATGGTTTGAAAATTATTTTCATTTTTTAGTTTTTAATGACTTTGAGAAAACTATGTCCATCAAGAATTGATTATTGTTCACTTCCTATGGATTGAAGGAATGTTCGAAAGTATAATTTGTTTGATAAAAGTAGTTTATAAAGTATTTCATAATTTTAACCAGTAAACATATTTTTATAGACAGTTTTAAGCCTTTATTCACCAATTACTTTAACTACTACATAGTAAGCATTTATAAATATATGTTAAAACATTTACTTTACACCTTTACAAAGATTAATTTAATTGTATTTTTTTAATAACAAATGTTCCTTTGTTTGCTGTGAATTCTGAAGTAGTTTGAACTTGTAAAGATGAAAAAATAGTTTAATATTAATATAATGTATGTAATAATAAAAAATCTGTTCCTTATTATGTAGCATATACATGCTATGAAAATTATCTAATACAAATTTATAAGTGTTTAAAAAATTATATTTTGTGATATCAAAATAATGTTAATAAATAAAATACACTCCTTGTAATTTTTTTTAATAGGCAATAAGCTTCATCATACAGAAACTTTTACTTTTTAATTAATCATGTTCAATAGGAAGTCATGGTTATAGTAGATTAAAAATTACATAATGAAAATATCACATTCGATTTTTATAACAATTTATATAGAGTTACAATGATAAAAGTTTCTTTTAATTTTTTTTTGATATATTCAGATAATTTTCTTTTATTCTTCCTAATTTTATAGTTGTGAATTAAAATTGATTTAAACATAAATCTAGTATGAATTTTTTCTAAATAAAAAAATGAGAGAAAATTTGTCTATTTTATTTGATGTTACATAATACAATACTATATTATGATATTTACCAAAACTAGTTACAATTTTAAATCCTTAATAAATATCAATAACGCAGCTCAAAAAAATTATATGGTATTTCACAAGAGACATAAAAGATGTTAAAAAGAAATCAAAATTGAAAGTTTCAAAAGATTGTGAAACACATATTAATCTTATACAAAAATTTTTTTATTTAGTCATGCAAAGAGTATCATTTAATTATTTATATACTATACCTATATCTTTAATATAACTAATAATAAAAATTTATTATTATTCAATCAAGTCTTAAATTCTGATCTCAGAAAAGTTATTTTTAAAAAGTGTAAATTTTATTGATTCGACTACATGGCTAGTAATTATCAAATAAATTTTATTTCCATGACAATAAAAATACGTTAAAGAACTCTATGTTTTGTTATAAAACAAATATATTTCAACAATAAAGAGTATCCCCTGTGACTTTATATTTATGTATATTCTGTCTTGGTAAGTCTTTATTAGAATGATAAATTTTTGAAATTAAAATGTTAGCATAGAATGATGAGATACTTTTTATCGACTGAAAATGTTTATGAAGTGAAGTGTCATTCTTATTGTTTCAAGCTATCATATGAGTCATATTATGTTTATAATTGAATATAGATTATGTGCTTCAAAAATTCCATCTGATTTTTATTAAACGTATAACTGCGTAAATATCCACAGAGATTAGCACATTTAGCTATGCACCGACGATATAGTTCAGTAGAATTAGCCCAAAATTGACCCAAAAGTGGATGTATGTACAAGGTAGAGGCTAGGAAAAAATTTGGTTAGGTCCAGGCATAGACATATATATAAAAGATAGACTGCTGATACTAGGTTATGGAATTGTCCGCGAGAGTGAGAGAGATAGCAACAAATAGTGGGAAACTTCTGTTTCTTTCTAGTCGACGCTTATTGGCTGTTGCCGTGCATGCGCCTACGCGCTCTTCGACTAGCGAATTTGAACTAAAAGATTCATAATAAAAATTAATTAATTTTATCAATATATCAAAAATCAATGTTACTGTTTTCCAAATAAAGGAAATGAATGGATGATAAATAGTAAATTGAAAATGGTTAATTTCTTTAAGTTTTTTTATATTTATTGAATTATTGTAACTTATATAAATTCTAATAAGCTGCCGCCAAGATACTTAAGCTTAACAATTCTTTTTTCAAGTTGACTGAGCAGAGTATTGTACGATTCCGGGTTCACAGTGAAATGTTCGCTTAGTTTGTTCGGAAGGAAAATGTCAAACTCAGCATCCAGTTCGACGACGACTCTTGTTCCGAATTTTGTTTGAACTTTTTTCATGCTAGTGACTGTGCAAAGGATTGAAGGATTCAATTCTTTTAATTTTTTCGTTGGCAAGGAGGATGGGGTACGAGCTACAGCGTTAATAGCTTCCATAATGAAGATTGATACCTGCGACATGTAAAATTTCAAATATAAAATATGAAAAAATTCTATGAGTAACAGTTGACACACAATTTTTTATTAAAAAGAGTATTCAAGCTATATGAAGTGTCTACTGTGAGCATAGACGAGCGAATGAATACCTTGATGCTATTGCATATATAGGGTTAAATCGATCATTTTAATTGAAGGCGTTGTACCAATTCCCCACCTTTACTCCATCTTCCTCATCCTCTAAATCTAACAATTTTAGTTTGCTGATCACATCATAATCATAATCATCATCATCATCATTATTCGACTCTGACGTTGAAGAATCGCTGTCAGGGAGGTCGCAACTCTGACTTAATTTTCAACTATAACGGTTTTTCAACCAATTTTTAAGAGCCACGACATTTTGAAGCGCGCAGTTTTCTGTCCAGTCTGGAGGATGATCATTGCAAACTATAGGTTCGCAAAATTTTGGCTGATGTAAGGAAGGGCAACCCAGACCTTCGAGATCGAAGACATGATCATTAAATCTAGTGAGCCACTGCACTTTTTGACGTCCCTTTACATAAATAATAACTTTGTCAGTGTCAGCTGCTAAGCGACATAGGTCTTGTATAATAAGCGGATGGCAATCGTATGGTAAGTTTCCTGTATTCTAATCAAGCCCATGGAAGTTATTTGTAAGCTATGAATTTTCACGTTTTGAATGGCTGGGAAGTTCTTTCCAAGGACATGGTGGCTTAAAAATCCAATGTGTGGGTTCAATATCGTCATTGAGATTTGTCATTGCAAGTTCTTTAAAAACTGGTTGATCATCGTTCTTAACAGCTTGTATATCAACGATGATTTCTATGGCAAATCTACAATGAAAAAAAATATATTAGACAGAAATATAGTTTAAATCATATTTTAGTTCATTGATTTTTTCAATACCTTGTTAAAGGATTGCAACGTGCCATGATCGCTCGAACCGATGAGTGCTTGATTGAATTTTATACATTTACCGCTTTCCCCTTTTTAATATATTAGTAACAGCGCGATAATCAAAATTCGCTTACATGTCTATGTCCAATCAAGAGTCTTTATGAATGCGGCTAAGTTCTTTTTATATGCTACAAGAACTCTAGCTCCGAGCGAAATAGTTAAGTCCCTTTAAACGAGCTGACGCTAGATGACTTATACTATAGCTTTTCTTTCCAATGCGCACACGGCTAAGTTTCATCTCTCTCTCTGCTATCGACACTTAGTCTCTACAGCATACAAAATAGAAAAAAACTTAAAATTGTGCGCCTGCGAAGTGACATAGCTCCATTAGCTATATCGCACGCTGAGAAAGATAAGTTTTCGGTCATATGAGAACTTACACGTGTGAACGAAATATGGTCTTAGCCGTGGAGCAGTGCGATGCGACATACTCTCCCCTCTCCCAAAAGTTAGCCATGTAGCGCGTGGCTATGAGCTGTGTGTGCGCTCTCTCTCTCATTCATGAATTGATATAAAGGACGATCATAATGCACACGCGTTAATTGATGATTGAACAGCATCACGACTGCACCTTATGAATTATAAACCAACGCGCTCATTTTAACTTTGAAAAAATGTTTAAGAATTCATTGCACTAAATGTGATGTATTTGGTCTTGAAAATTTTTTTGAAGTTAATGAAAAAAGTAGTGTTATAGAAGCGTGCACGCATGAAAGGACATAGACACGCGCGCGAGTATAAGTGGTCTTAGTTGCGCGAGAGAGCATAAACACCTTTTACGAAAATTTTCTAAATCCACAACCGAACAACCTCATCCTCTTGCTGCGAGAGCTTAGAGTTAAATGACTCTGCGTGGAGCTCCCCGTTCTGGAGTAGTCTTTGACTTCCTATGCATTGATTGATATGTAGGGACTTAGTCGCGCGCGAACATATTAGGACTTACAAGTAACCCTACCCAAGTGTCACTCACCGATTTTAACCAAACTTGGCACATCGTTAGAGCACTAAAAAATATTGAACCCGTGTTTTTTTATTTTGGCCGAATCCACTGTTAAGGGGTAGAAACCACCCCTAATAACCCCTAACCAGGCTAACCCACCTAACTCTGGGTAGAGCGAGTTTGATTAATTATTTTTTCACAAGAAAGTTAACTTCTCAACCCGGATAGGCTAACCCATTTATAACCTGATATAACCGATCCCCACAAATCACTATATCCCTTATACACCATCCCTATCAACCCCTAAGCAGGCTAACTCATCTAGCCCTGGGTAGAGCGAGTTTCATCAGCTGCTTTTCTATAGGAAAATAAAGATCATAACCAGCGAAAGGTCAACAAAATTTTACTTTGTAATAAAACTTTTGTATAAAAAATGAGTTAAAACCTGTAAATTTCATAGAAATAAATAAAACCGCAGCCAACTCGTTGGAAGTAAGCTTCTTCAAATAAAATGTTCCTTCGCAAGCTTTTTTTTGTAACAACGACTATACTTTTCTTGTATTATCTTTGTATTTTTTTAAGGTTTAAAAAGTTGAAAAAAATCTTTTGATCTCAAATATTTTGAGAATAACAGTAACTGTGATATGAAATTACTTTTTGAAGAACCGTCGACATTAGCGTGACCCAATGTGCACCGCG